AAATTTCATTACAGTACTATATCTTGCTTCCTTGAAATGCCTTTTGAAATTTTCTGTTCAGTATTTTTCATGGGTAATAGTAAGTATTCTGAAGTATTCTGAAGAAAGGTGATCCAACTGAATTTAGTGAACAAAGTCATTAATATCACACTCCAGGTAAATTATTCTGAAGAGAATACAAAATTGACTGCAGATGTATATTGACAGGAAACTTTCAGATTTGCAAACTAGATTAGGAAGAGAATGTAGAAAAAGTGATGTCATTGCTGTTATCAGATGAATCTTAGTTCAAAGCAGAGACTCTTCCAGAAATACTGGTACAGTTTTGCTGTGCTGTATTAATGGTGTGTATTATAACAAGTGATGACTACCATTGAAAAGAATGGGAATTCCATAACCCTTAATTGTTCTCATGTGGAAATATATGTAGACTAAAAGGCAGCCAAATAGAAGAAGGGTATAGCTTGTGGCTTAAAGAATAAGGAAGACCTAAGAATAAATGATGCATATAAATTATGTTGCGGACAAAGAATATTAAAGTACCATGGGCATTCAGAGGAACAAACAAATCTATCTTGGGAGAAATACAGCCTAAATACACCTTAGAAGTGAGGATGTTGAGACATCACTTCATATACTAGAAAGAGCACTTACTGATGTAGCCTTAAGCTGTCAACAGAAAAACACAAACAAACCAAACCCCCTCATTACCGAGCCCATAAAGAACATAATGATAAACTAAGACAAGTTAAAGATTTTCAAGAATTTCATTGTACTTGGATTCACTACGAATGACAAGAGAATACCAATGAAGGAATCAAAGGATGAATTGCATTGAGAAATCTACTGTAAAAGATCTCTTTCAAGTGTTAAGAAGCAAAGATGTATTTATAATCACTAAAGTGCTATTAACTGAAGTCATGGTATTGCTCCCATATGCACGTGAAAGCTTGACAATGAATAAGAAAGTTTGAATCGGGCCTTTGAATTATGTTATTGATGAAGAATATTGAATATATAATGTGTTGCCAAAAGATAGACTGTTCCTTACAGGGGAGAATGGCTATAGTTTATTTCACATACTTTGAGCATGTTATAAGGAGGGTCAGTCCCTGAGAAGGGCGTCATGCTCGGCAGAGTGGAGAGGCAGTTATAATGAAGACAACCTACAGTAGATGGGTTGACACAATAGCTGTCACAATGGGCCCAAACAAATAGATGCTTGTGAGGATTACGCAGTGTTTCATTCTATTGTACCTAGGGTGGTTACAAGTAAGATACTTAACAAACAACATTCAATTTATGTTGTCAGTTTCTGAAATGTTACAGGAAATCATTATAGTAGCTAAATTTATTGATAGACAAAATTTGGAGATTGATATGATTGATGTGCACAATTATTTTAGGCAGGGGTAAGATAGTTAGGATTATCTGAGATCTAAGTAAGCTATGGTATGTAGTAGTTACTCATTGGACTGCTGTGGGATGCATCCCCACAACCGAATAGGTCCAAGCAGTCAGTTGTATAATTAAGGGTAAATTAAAGATACATCAGACACAACAAAGCATGCAAGGGCTCACATAGGCCATGACTTCAGAAGCAGGGTCTGCACAGAAGGCGATTGTATTTCCAACAACAGCAAGCAAAGCTCCCCTAATTACAGGTAACCACATATGTACCCTAACCTCAATGGTCCCTGAGTTCCTTGGAGGAGTAACCAACCACCAGTGCTGGGGGCAGGCAAAGGTAGTGACTGTCCCCTTCTCAGGGAGAAGAATAGCATACGTCTGCTCCTATAGTTAAAACTTCTGGCTAGATAGCAATCAGCCTTTGTTTGTAAAAGGTAACTTTAAGTCAGCACTATTGTGGGAGGATATAATGGGGAACAATATTAATTATAAGTATGTGATTGGGACTCATATCTAGCTCACAAGTGTGAAGGCCTCCTTTCACCCCAGAATCCTGGCTTGCCAGGCTTCTTAAAATATGAGAATAAAGAATTTATCCACACACACTCTCTTCCCATTCCCCAGTTTCCCACAGACTGCCAAACACAAGGTCTACAGTTCCAAGCTACCAGCCACTCTGCATGAAGAAGACAAGACTTTCTACTCCCATAAAGAGTTTGAGTCTTGGAAACCCAAAGGGACAGTTCTACCCTATTAGGTCACTGTGAGTTCAAATTGACTTGATGGCAGTAAATTCAGTTATTTGGAGATAATCTCTGCGTTTCAGTGGGGAACAGCAGCGACAACCATTTCCTATAGAAACACTACTTCATCAGTGGATATCATACACATTGGCCCACTCTGTTGTTTAGGTGTTCTGCTCAGTACAGGGTGATACACAAGTGCATTATCACTAAAGCCAAACTCATTGCCATTGAGTCAATTTTGACCCATGGTGACTGTAGGGAAGGGGGGAAATGCCCCTGAGCATTTCTGAGAATGTACACAATTAACAGGAGTATGCAGCCTTATTTTTCTCCCATGGGCTGGTGGTTACTAACTGCTGATCTTGCGATTAGCCGCCTAACATGTAATCAATACACCACCAGGGATCCTGTGCATTATCAAGGTGTGAATAAATAAACTCTCACTTTGTGGAAGCCATTTTGTATTTAACTTCCTTCTTTAAATGAGAACATATAAAGAAAATTCCCTTGAGATTTATATTTATAGGCTGTTAAAAGTAACAGAGAGTCCTTTGATGGCTCATGTGCTTGACTTCTTTCTGACTGGAAGGTTAGGAATTCAAGTCCAAATAGAGGTGCTATGGAAACGGGTTGGTGATCTAGTTTTGAAAAATCACCCATTGAAAACCTTAAGGCACACTGTTCTACATTGACACACACAGTCACCATGAATTGAAGCTAATTCATAGGCAACTGTTTTTTTGTTTTTGTTTGTAAGTAACACAGCAGTTAGGAAAATCTCATTAATTCCAGTCAGATCACACACAGCAGGGAGGAAGTGTGCTCTGAAGCACCCATGGTGGGGCAAACCAAGAAGGAAACACAGCAGATCTGTAACAGGAGCAAAGCATAACCAAAAAGCCCCTAAGGGGCCCCCAAAGTAGACTTCAGGCTAGGAGGGGCAGTTCCTGGAATTCCCCCAGGACCAATGGGGAGATAGTCATAAAGGTTAGTCCTAGAAGCATGCTTTTTTTGTTTTGTTTTGTTTTTTTGCTGTTGTGTTTTGTCTTGTTGTTTCTGTTGGGGTTTTTTTTCCCTCCTTCCCTCTTTTTTGGTTAGTCATTTGTTTTCTATTTGTTTGGTCTATGCCATTGAGGAAAAAGCAATGAGACCAACGGTCCTGGGGGGACTTGGGGGGAGAAGTAAAAGGGGGAAATGTGGGATGGGCAAACAGCACCATAGACAGGAGAACAACTAGGGAATTAAAAACAATAACGAGGTGGATATAGAGGTCCTGGGGGCGCTGGTGCAACAGCAGTCTAGCTGAAAGTACTGTGAGGCAGAAGTATGGTGAGCTTGAGGGTGGGGCAGAAGGAAGGTAAAATGCAATTGTGGAATAATGTAGGAAACAAAGCTATGGATAGAGGGATAACATAGGGGTGTCCATATGTAATTACATTAATCCATAAAAATAGAGGTATTGGTCTATGTACATATATTTATATGCAATACATTGAGATAGTGGATGGACTTCGGGCTTCTACTTATACAAGAACACGTTGTTCAAACAAATTGGCCGTCTGAGATGCTCACCCTCCCAACACAATCACTGAAGACCAAATGGGTGCATAAGCAAATGTGGTGAAGAAGGCAGATGGTGCCCCACTACTAAAAGATATAGTGTCTGGGGTCTTAAAGGCTGGCAGTGAAACAAATAGCTATCCAGAAGAGAAAGAAAAAGCCCACATGGAAGAAGCACACAGCCTGGGTGAGCATGAGGAGTCACCGGGACTAGATAACAGGTATTAGAAGATCCTTAGCAGTCAAACAAATAAAAGCATATGGGATCAGAGCAGAGACCCAAAACCCATCTGTCGACAATGGGACACTCCCCACAGAAGGGTCACAGGGAAGGGATCAGTAAAGCACCAATGAAACACACAATATTACTCTGGTTCCTTGAGGCTTCCTCACCCCCACCACCATGACCACAGTGATGCCTCTCACTGAGCATGTACACAGCTGTAGATAGAGATAAGAGCTCACGGAACACGCCACCCTGGAGCAGGAATGGGAAGAGAGATACCAGATGGGAAGGGTAAAGGAGGGGGTGGGAGGGAAGAAGGGGGAACTGGTCACAATGATCGACACAAAACCACACACACCCCTCCAGGGGAAAGAACAACGGGAACCATTGGGGAAGGGAGAAAGTGGTCGGTGTGAGACATGAAAATAATAATGATGTATAATCAATCAAGGGGTCATGGGGGGGGAGGGGAGCTGATACCAAAGGTTCAATAGAAAGTAACTGTCTAGAAAAGAATGATGGCAGCATATGTACAAGTATGCCTGATACAATTGATATATGGGTTGTAATAAGAATTGTAAGAGCCCCCAATAAAGTGATTTTTAAAAAGTAGGAAACTTCTGGCATAAAAAAAATAGAGTCAGATCTTTTCAACTTCCATGAGCCAGTTGATTATACTTGGGGCACCATATTTCCTACAGATGTTTGCTAAGTCAGTGTAAGAGCTTTAAGGTGATTTCTCTTATAAATAATGCACATTTTGGTAGTATCCTGAGGCCAATGAAGCATCATTTAGACATTGCTATCAGCACTTTATTTACCTTCTTTCTAACTTTTCCATAATTTTTTTTGAAAACCTAAGCTGTAAAAATAAATAAACCAAACACAAGTCTCAGTATTTAATATCTAAAGAATATAATAAAATAGTATCAAATCTAGTTATACTATTACATTTTTATGATTTATGAGTACGTTTTATTTAATTCAATTCATAAAGTAGACAACTAGAACTGCATGTTTTGGTATTTTTTCTAATGTGACTTTTATTTTGATTATAGATTGTGTTGCCTCCTCACCTGGAAAAGATAAGAGAAAAACTTGCAGAGAATATCCATGAGCTTTGGGTTATGAATAAAATTGAACTTGGCTGGCAGTATGGCCCGGTATATAATTTTGAATTTTATTTTCTGAGTCTTGTAGTGTGTCTTACTGAAAACATACCTTTTCACATTAATTTTGCTGTGTGCTTGCATGAATCATTTGATTGATTTTGTTTTCCCCTACACATTAGTTTTAATGTAAGTTTTATTTACTGTAAGGGATGACTTATTGGTGGGTTCATTAAAGGTTTACCTGAACAATTGAAAAAATATCAATCTTTGGTCTGAAAGGCTTTTTAAAATCAAAGTTAATGTATACAGGCAAAGGGTATTGATTTGAAAGTCTTTTAAAAATCTCATTAATATTGAAAGTGTGGCTGCCCTCCATGGACCACCTCTCAGTGATGCCCATGTGTTTAAGTTTCTAAGAGGAGAAAACAAATAAAATATAATGGATACTGGAAGGAAATGAAATATCTTTCTCATTAACTATAGCTACAATTAGTCATATTGCTTAAACACACCTAAGATTTAATGTGAAATGTATGTTTTATACTAATATATTCAATAAAGGTCATAGAGCACTTATGAAAGCAAGAGGTAGCTCACAGCCTCTGAAATGTACAGCCACAGTCATCTCAAATAAATGACATCAGTCCGTTATGTTGTTAATTTATCTTCAAATTAGTTTAGCCCTAACATAAAAAAATTATTACAAAGTAAAACTAAGTCACTCCCATAACCTTCTGATATAGAGTTCAATTCAAGTTACCAAACATTTGTATTGTGTGCCTGCCATTTGCTGTGTATGTTCTTGGTTCTTCGAATATATACAAGAACAAGAGATAACAATTCCTGTTTTGTTTTGTTTTTTATTCTGCAATCTAATTTGGAGAACAGACCAAGAAAATAACAAGCGTTGCTGTCCAGTCTTCTCTAACGCATAGCAACCTTAGGAATTCCTGAATACAAAAAACTCACTGCCAACAAGTTCATTCAGACTCATATTCACTCTGTAGGACAGTAAGGCAGGGTAATATGGCCTCTACGGGTTTCTGAGACTGACAATCTTTATAAGAGTGCTAACAAACAAACAAGCCAACAAACAAAGCCAACAACAAAAAAGAATCCTTTCAAACTTACTGTCCTTAGCAGAGTGCATCTCATAGTGAGCTGAAAGCACAGAGTTTGTGAGGTCCCGTGGGTTTCTGATACTGCGACTCTTTTTGGAGTAGGAAACCTAATCATTTTCCTATGAAGAGGCTGGTAGTATTGAACTTCTGACCCTGCTGTTAGCAAGCCAACATGTAACACCCTCAGGCACTAGGACTCCTTATAGGAATAGAAAGCCTCATCTTTCTTCTCTGGAGAGGCTTGTAATTTTGAACTGCTGACCTTGTCAACCCAATGAATAATCCACCAAGTAAGCAGGTCACCGGCATTTCAAAATAACACTATGCAATTTGGGATTTCAATGGATAATTTTTCAAAGCAGATCACTAGGCCTTCTTTAGAGATGCATTTCAGTGAAGTATATGTGCACAGGCTGAGAACCAATTTTTACCACTCATTTCCAAAAGGAGGTGAAGTTCAAAAGTAGTGTAACTTGCACTGTTCATACATGCACTGACTTATTCTAAACAAATCATATTTAAACATATTTCTGCAATCAGTTTATGGTTGCAGATAAGCTCTGTCAGTAACATACTTGTCTTAGCCACACTAGGGTGCCTTGAAAAAATAGGTCTAATCAAAACAGTAGTTTCATAAGGGAATTTCTAGGCTGGTTTAATCCAAGACAGTGAGATCGATTCAGAGTTTACAGTGACTGCTGAGGTTTGGCGTCCAAAGGGGTAATTTTGGTAGATTCTTATTGAAGGACACATGCCCATTACAAGGGCTAATTATGGAGAAGTTTTAAGAAAATTGAACATTGTATTAGTGGGAAAAAAATCCAGGAAAATTGCCTTGAAGAATGTTTTTCCATTAAAGTGTATACGCTAATTCTTGAAGGGTAGTAAGGGCTATCCTAAGAGAATTTCATTTGAAAATCTTACCCCATCCACCTCCAGCCCTGATCTTGCCCAATTATGACTTCTTTTTGTTCCCTAAACTCCAAAAACATTGAAAAGGGACATAATCTCACAATTAAAATCCTCTGAAGATGCCAAAAGGGCTGTTTTGAGGGAGTATAAAATGGAAGAATTCTTCAGGGAAACACTACCTTTGAAAGGTATAGTTCAATATGCATAGAAAAATAGCTTTACACTTGGACATTTTTGTTTAACAAAGGTGTATATGATTTTATAGTATTACTTTTTGACTAAGCCTTTTTATTTTCTGTATCTGGGAAACTGCAAGGGCTTCTCTGGGTCGATAATCTGATATTTCCTCTTGCTTTTCTCCACCTCCACTTCCTATTGCTTTTGTTTAGTTTGGTCACTTTTGTTTTTGTGTGACTCTAGAGACAATTACATGCTGACTTTTGGTCCTATTTCTAGGTTAGAGATGATAACAAAAGACAACATCCATGTCTGGTGGAATTCTCCAAGCTTCCTGAGCAGGAACGCAATTATAATTTACAGATGTCACTGGAGACCCTGAAGTGAGTTTACCTTTTATTTTCACCCCTCTCCTAAGCCTGAAAGAGAGCCTTGGTGGTATAGTGGTTTAGTAATTATGCATTGGGCTGATAACAACAAGTGAGCAGTTTGAAACCACCAGACTGGGCTTTCTACTCCTATCAACAGTGACACTGTCAAGAACCCACATGGGGTAGATGGACCCTGGCCTATAGAGTTGCTATGAGTTGGAATTGATGATGACAGTGAGTTTTTCAAATTTTTCATTCGCTTTAAAGGATCCCTGGTGTTGAGTTGAGTTGAGCTGCTAATTGCATAGTCAGCAGTTCAAGCCCACCAGCTGCTCCCCTGGAGAAAGACGAAGTTTTCTACTACTGTAAAGATTTACAGTCTCAGAAACTCATGGGGCAATTTTATTCTGACCTATAGGATCTCTATGAATTTGAATAGATTCAGTGGATGGCAGGAACCCTCTTGGGGGAGTGAGTTTGTGTATCAGAATCAACTGGTAGTGAATTTGGATGGTTTTTGGTTTGTAACTTTTGCCATGTTTCATCCTTCTCTTGTAAGTGCCTTCAGGCATAAATCCTTTCAAAGATCATACTGTCTCCCCTGCAGTTTGTAGCACGGTATGTCATACATGGATGGTGTGATGTCTGTTTTAAACTGCTTCTAGTTATTCCATTGAAATTTAAAATTTTTTTCTAGTAGAACATCAGTTAGTGTTTCACTAAGATATTATGTTTCATATCTGATATGAGAACATGTTTGTTTAGTAAAGCAACACTCTAGCTCATCAAGGATAGAAAAGGTACCACAGAGCAGGTACTGACTCACTAAGAACTTGAGACCTATTTCATAATACATTTGGCTATAAACTGGTAAGATTTTTTTGGTTGGTGTAGTGTTTACCACCCCACGTCTCCCCAGACAGCTGAGAGACGAAGACAGAGACTAGATAAAAGTCAAAGAACAAAGCTTTACTTTGGTCAAACAAAGAGAAAGCTGGAATTAAAATTGCTATGGCAAGCTCCCTCAAAAAGGGGATTGCAGTTTTATGTATGTGTACCAGGAATTAAATTGAGGAGATTATAAATATATAACAGCATTCACAGGCATAATCATGAAGATGCATTAGTGTGGGGTTATGATTTTTTATAAGATATGGCTTATTGGACCTCTAGCTTTCCAATGTCTTCTGTGTTCATCTGGGAGCATTTTACCAAGTGACTTTTGGGTTCTTGACCAAAGTTTTCTTGTTTTGGAGTGACTTTCAGGTTGTGATTATCCTTACTGTGTATGTTAGGTGGGTCAGGTCTGGTCATGATGGACATGTTCACTTGCTGTGGTGGGATACTTTCCCAGGTGGAAAAGGGCTAAAAATAGACAGATTATCAGGCAGAGGGTTAAGAATAGGTAATAGATGAGGTATGTTCTAATATCCTGTGACATATCATATCCGAAGGGTGAATTCCTTTGGCAAGCTGTGTTATTTACAACGTTACATAGGCTAAGCAGGTTGGGAAGTGGTCTCATGACCCACTTCTTTTTCTCAGTAATTCCCATCAAAATCTATGGAGCACCCTTTGGGAGATTCTAATATATAGGATGTCATCCTGCTATAGAATGTCAAGGCATAAAGCAGTGGGATCAGGATCTAATTCCTCACAAATGTCCATCCCATCCATTATAGCATAGGAAAGTTTTGCTAGAAATATCAGCTGATTTCAAAAAGTTCAAAACAAAATTTGATTGTCTTTCAGATCCTGTTTTCTACACACTTTTGGTAAACCTCTTTTAGTTTATAGCTGAATTAAAGAAGAGCATCACTTTTTTTTTCCGCAAAAGGCAGATTGCACACCACTCATGGTCATTGAGTTGCAGGACAGAGCAGAACTGCCCTTGTGAGTTTCAGAGGCTGTAAAACTTTACAGGAGCAGGCAACCTCATCTTTCTCCCTTGAAGCCACAGGCTGGTTTGAAATGTTGACCTTGTTGACTTACCCAGCGGTGCCTAGAGGGAGCCTTACAAGTTGTCAAGCGTTTTTAGACTACGAGCTTAAACATTTTCAATGGGCTTATTTAATATATCCCAAGGTGGCTACAGTTGGAAAATTATTTAGCAAAGCATCGTGTCAGTTGCCTTCTCTGGGGCTAGCTGCACAAACATTCTTCACAGGCCTGCAGCAAATCTGCATCCAGGTAGAAGTCCTGCCATTTGTTGTTTTCTGTTGTTGATTGTTTATTTTCAAGCAGTAAAACTTTCACAAAAAGACTGAATAGTTTCTTTGGGAATGCAGAAATGAAAATCTTATTTTAATTCAAAATTGATCTTTAATTTAAGTTTCTAGTTATTTAAGTCATATACAGCAGTACCTTAATTTTTGTAAAGTTTATTTTTCCATAACACCTTTACTATTTTTTTTGTCTTTGTCTTGTTAAGAATAAGGATTTATTTTTCATTGATGTTTATTTACCAGTGATTCACAACACAAAATGGAAACAGTATTTTAGGTTATAGGATTTATGTTAAAAGATGTTTTTATTAAAATTATGGAAACAAACGAATTAGGTATAAAATAAATTTGGCAGCTTTATAAAGTCCTTTGGTGGTGGGTGGGTGAGGGGTGTTCAGCCAGCTAAATATCTAACTACAAACTGAAAAACTAGAGTTTTAAACCTACCCCGAGGCCAAAAAAGGCCAGAAGGCTGCTTCTGAAAGGTCCCAATCTTGAAAACTCTATGGAATACAGCTCTACTCTGACAATAGGGTTGTGATGAATTGGAATTGTGTTGAAGGCAACTCTTTGTTTTTGTGTTTGTTTCATCATTGTAACTAAATAACAACAGCAACAACAGCAACAAAGCAAACAGTCCCATTGTCATGCGGTTGACTTAAATTTTTGGTGGCCCCTCTTTGGACAGATTTGAATTGTGATCCATAGGGTTTTCAGTAGCTGATATTTTGATATAGACCCCCAGACCTTACTTCCTAGGGTAGGTTTGAAATGCCACTGTTAGGGTAGTATTCAAGTGCAAATCACTTCCACAGCTGTAGGGAAACACCCTAAATAGGGATGTCCTTTCTGATTACTGGGTGCCAAAAGTACAAAGAACAGACCAGAAGTGACACTCATATATGAGAATTTTATGTACAGGGATGCAGTACTGTGACTCTGGGTGGCTGGCAGTGTCAGGGTTTTGTATGTACTTAGGAGAGGGTAGGACCAGGCTGAGTTTCTGTCTGTTGTATCAAGGGTTGCTATGAGTTGGAACTATTTTAATGGCATTTAACTCACCTTTCAGCTCAATTAATACTGTCCTATTTAAAATAATAAGAAGAATAACTGATTTGTAAGATATGTGAATGATCTGTTAGTAAAACTTTCTTTTTTTTAAAGGCACTCAGAATTTAAGCTCTAATGCATTTCCCTAATCTTATCTTAGATTTATAATTCTTGGCTCACACAGGGTTATATGCTTCATCTATGTAAACTTGGCTGACATCTCATTAGATGGATGCTTGTTTTAAGAGAAGCTTTAAGATCTCAGATATTCTTTCTGATAGCAGGGTAGCATCTGATTTCTTCACTACACTTTGCTATAGCACCCATATCAATATTGAGTAAGACCCTCCAAAAATCCATTCATATATTTAAGGTTTATATATCTTCCTGTTTCACTTTAGTATTTTGTGCACCTTGAGAACAAGATCTATAGCGGGATATAGTATGTGGCCTATGTCACAAAGGGTAGAAAAGAAATTCTGTTAAACATGCACGATCACCCTTATAGTACAAGGTGAAGTCTCCGTGTTGGGGGTCCATAACAGTAATGTCAAACATTTTCTCCAAGAGCAATTAGCTGCCCTTTCCAAACCTCTATTCATCAACAGACATGAGATTCATTTTTAAGACAGACACCACCTCCATACACCACATCATCATAAATCTCTATTGAAGTGCACTGAACAGCAATGTAGAGGTCTCCACCCAGGAAAGGTGACTGTAGGGCATTGCCATTGTGGCATGCCCCATTTGGTCCTCTATCGCTCCCCTACAATGAGAAGTTGTCTACAACTGAAGTGAAGCTTCCCCTGGACAAGGGATCTTTATGATGTACAAATAAGGGACTGATAAATGGGTTACAAATGTTATAAGTCTTACCACTCCATTCATTGCCTGTGGTACTGGGTTGAATAAATGCATGACCTAAAAGTCCATTGCCTGTCTTTGTCATGGTATTTCTCCTTATGGCAATGAGCTCATGCAACGTCTATATTTCTGTGATTGAGTAACTTTGTTCAGCATAATGGTCTCCAGGTCTGACCGTGTAGTGAGGTGTTTGGTTGTTTCATCATTGTTTATAGCAATGGATAGTATTCCATAATATGTGTATACCAAAGGACAGCTTATTTTCCTATTAAACTTATTGTAATAAATGGAAATGGAGGGCCATACCTGCCCTCCTCTGTCCTCTATGTTGCCATCCAGCAGGGGTCAGACAAGTCTCCATGGTTAATCCTTGTTTACCTAGTCTGACACCAACCATTCCTCCCATATCACCCCCCACCATCTCTGCTGGGTTTGCCAATTCACTGCAGTGGCCACATAGAACTCACAGACAATACTCCAAAATCAGGAAGTTTATTAGGGAAGTTTGAATCAATGGCAATAAGTTAATTTTATTAAGAAAGTAAGTAGGTCACCATAAGTCAGGATCTGCAAACAGTAGGGATACAGTCATTGGTCTCCTCAGCCAGCAGCAAAGTCTCTCTCTGCTTTTTAGCCTCTCTGCCACATAGTTCCTTGATCTTTGCCCCCATGGGCCAGGAAGACAGCCCGCCCGTTCAGCTGTCCCATAGTCTTGGGTCAGATAAGGAGAAGCGTCCCATAGTCTGGTGCTACTTATTTGAGTCTCTGTGCCACCATCTGTGATGCATCTGTTCTCAGCAGCCTCTGCCACTTCAGACAGATCTTGGATGTGCTCTTCAAAGGTCCTCCGGGTTTCTTTCCTCCAGAGTG